ATTTATTGATAAACTAGTGCTTTCTTTGTTCTCGGTTTAAGAGATAAGGTCGGCGACACTGACTCGTCGTCTTTGCAGCAGTGGATGCCATGTTTCACATGTTTCACATGGATTACATAATCTGAGAATATTTGTTTTCCATTTGAATTGGTTCATTTCATTTCACTCATTTCGCTCTCTATAGATATTTTTTCATATCTGTAAGGCAAATATACACAGAGTTCCGGAGTTTCGCGCTCAAGTTCATAGAGACCGAGACGGCAGAAAGCACATCCTGTTTGCTTTCATTATTTTACAAAAGAGTGTTTTGTTGTTATTGTGAGTGCACATAAATAAATGTAGAGTCTTTACAGATTCAAAAGATGTATTACTCTTATCTGTATGACCAGAAATGACTTAGTAGCCTATTTTAAGAGCAACCGCACCGGCGCCTCCATCTGTCCTGCAGTGAGCTACTGTTCAGCTTCCACACTCTGCACAAACACTTCAATAGCGCACATTTTTCTAGGTTAGCCTAACATTAGATTAAGCGGCCATGTAAAGTTGCTAATACTTACATATTTCAGATGATAAACCATATTTGAGGTCGATGAATGATAGGCGAACGTTTGGATGTCCTGCCCGGTGTACTATAGACCAGCTTTTTTTTTCTGCGTCTAATAAAATTTTGGTAAACCAAGCCTCTTCTGGTCGACTAACAATTAGTCGACTATTAGGGGGCAGCCCTAGTATTTATAAATAAGTGCTGAGTGCTATGCTTAGCTGTTAGACAGTTTTCACCATGAAAATCTGGTGTGTGATTTGTCATTGAAGCAACCCATCGCCTTGTGCTGGTCTGAAGAGATGAGGGACGAGGAGGGAGAATCTGTAAGAAATGTGTGTGGTGAATAAGATTCTGTTAGACTGCAGTGAGGGGAGTTGACTGACGGGCTCAGGCTTATCGGAGGAGCACACTAATTGGAGGTCATCCGCATGAATTAAAAAAACAGTCAATTACTGCACAAGAAAAGAGCCGATCATCTCTCATTCCCTCCTGCTTGCTGCCACCCTGTTTAGATGCCTAGTACATATGTGTAGGGGGTTCAAAAAGTGCACCGTCTATCCTCTCAGCCAATCAGCGCACGGACAGCACCCCTTGATGAAATGTTTGTGTTATGGTGACTCCTCACAGGCCCTGCTGTGTAGACTGGATCATTACGCCTGATTGGTCGTTACTGAGGTTCTGAGACAGGAAGCACAGCGGTGCTATCGACTGTTGTGCCTGCACCCCTCTGCGTGTCTGTGTGTCACATGCAAACACACACACCTGCTAGAGTAATTGCGGCGATAAACATAGATACCCCAAATCCTCAGAGCTACGCCTTGACCGAGATATCAGGGACTATAATAACAAGGTATATATATAATCATTTAGGACCATAAAAATGCTAAATGCTACTTACAATTGTCAGAATACCAAAATTTCAGTAGTCAATGCCAGTAGCAATAAAATTTCACTGGTATCGTTACTTTTTTTTATTTTTTATTTAGTTTAGTATCAAATTGGAAATGAAGTACCTGACTTTATAAGATATTTATTTGCTAATCTTGCTACTGGTAATGCCTGTAGATTTTTCCTTCACCCTTGTACACAACAGATTCATTTGTTTTGAGTGTACAATGCGAATTTCCCTCCTGCTTGCTGCCACCCTGTTTAGATGCCTAGTACATATGTGTAGGGGGTTCAAAAAGTGCACCGTCTATCCTCTCAGCCAATCAGCGCACGGACAGCACCCCTTGATGAAATGTTTGTGTTATGGTGACTCCTCACAGGCCCTGCTGTGTAGACTGGATCATTACGCCTGATTGGTCGTTACTGAGGTTCTGAGACAGGAAGCACAGCGGTGCTATCGACTGTTGTGCCTGCACCCCTCTGCGTGTCTGTGTGTCACATGCAAACACACACACCTGCTAGAGTAATTGCGGCGATAAACATAGCGACAATCACTCGGCCCACTGTTTTGTTTCCTCAGAGATGTAGATTTTTTTTTTACAGTTAACATTGAAATAGAAGTAGAATGAGTTTTTAAAACATTACATGAAATATATAACATGTTTTAAACTCCCCTTAACTATTGTATTTGTAG